AGTGACAGAGAGTCGATTGTTGGCGGACGTTTGTCAAACCAGGAGCCTGCGTGACTCTGACCGACAGGTCCCGTGGACGGAGGCTGCAGCTGCAGCTGTAGGTGGATGTTCTCCAGCACTGATGCTCCGTGTGGCCCCTGTCGACCCTCGTCCTGTTGACTCGAATTCGTCCAACACAGAATTCAATACGGCGGACGGAGCGGAACAGTGGCAGTAGAACGACAGCCTCACAAACAACAACAACAACAACAACAACAACAAAAATCCTCCTCTGGACGCAGCGTCGGAATAAACGCAATCATCCAACAGTCTTTACTCTACCTACAGTGGATGTGAACACATGACACATTCAGCCACAGCCAATGGAAATCAGCTCCTACACTGATGCACGTCTTTGTTTTTAGTGGAACAATTTTGTATTTGTTGAAGGATCAGTGAGTGGACGAATAAATATCATTTAAACTGAGGGGATATTAATGCATGCTCAAAAAGAAATAATATACATTACATATATAATAGATATATATGAACATATATTACATATGTCTATATTCTACCACTAAAATATAGGTTTGTTAATAATTTCCTTATTTATTTTAGACTTTTTTGTTTCCTATTTGGATTCTGACAAACCACCTAGAATCGACATTATTATTATTATTATTATTATTATTATTATTATTATTATTATTATTATTATTATTTATTGTGAAAAGGTCAACGTGGGTTGTTTTTTTAACTTCACCTGCACAACTGACAGTTTAAAAAAAAGAAAGAATTCACCAGAACGAACCACAGGTATGAGGACAGGAACAGGGGCCCAGCAGATTTATGTTGATTATCAGATTATCAGAATTTTAAGATTAATGTTGAAGTACATTCTTTGTTCAATTTAATATTTAATTTCAACATGATTTTATCTGAAAGACTGTTAACAAAAACACTTTCGTTTATTTTCCGAGTTCTATATATATATATAAAACTTTGAGTAACTTGTAGTTGCTGTAATAATCATACCAAACCTTGAACTTTATGTGAAGTAACTATTTTTTTATTTGGGAATGGACTTTGATATATATATATAAAAATGATCCATTCGTTTTTTTTTTTATAATTTTAAAAAGTGATGGTAGTTTAAGTATGTTGTTGGCTCTGCTCTGACAACGTTGACACCGCTGATTCTACACACACACACACTCACACACACACACACACACAGTCTTTCACACACTTCATTTTTTTCTGTTGACAAAGCAAAGAAATGTGCATGGATATATTTAATGTCAGACCACACACACACACACACACACACACACATACATCCAAACACACATCAAAACACAAACATTTCTAAATATATGTTAGGAGTTAACTGATGATGCAGTGGGTTTCACTAGATTACATGTTTTTTTGTTTTTGTTTATTTGTTTTTGTCATAAATCGTGCACGAACCTGCAGGAACCTAAAGGGTTAATACAACGTGCGGACGCCGGTCTGTGTATTTGTTATCTGTCTGGGTTTTTTCTCAGGTCTGTAGTGAAAATACTTTAGATGACGGGTTTATTTAGCGCGTGTCCTGTCTTTGTTACTCCAGCTTCCGGAATAATTCTGTGGACTCTTATTTAGTGGACGACGTCACTGCAGCATACGGTGGTTAACGGTGGAGACGCACAGAAACTCAACGGCAACATGGACTTTGTCACGGTTATTACTGTAATGACAACTGCAAAATGTACTCATTTATTATTATTAATTTATTAATTATATTATTATTATTATTTATTCAAAGGTAAAAATAGCCTTAATATAATAATAATAATAGAAAATAATACGAATTATTGTTATAATATATTTTTCACTAATTCATTAATTAATTTGTCATCATTAATATTCCTTAAGTGTGAATATAAATTACAGATTAAAATAATTATTAAAAAAACAACCCTTCGATTCAATAATTTTTAAATGACCAGAAACGACGGTCAGGCATCATTGTCATCACAGTGATATGGTTTTCCCAAAAGAATAATGGCCGTTACAGAGAGACATGACCGAGAGTTTAATAAGAAATAAATATGAATTGAAATGCAGTGAAGTCACACTGGGTCAGTTGGTAAATCAAGGGTTGGTAAAGTATAAATCTGCTGCAGTGATTTCCAGCCCCTTGGATATATTTTTTTTTAATTTTTACAGCCTTAACCCCGGGACTCGAACCTTAGCCCTGCCGCATATATACCGCTGTGTTAGTCTACGTGGTTAGTGACGAAGGCGCTCATCAACAGACTAGCTCAGGACCTGTGTTTCACTTTAAAAAATACAAGTTTATTAGGAAATTCACAGATTTAGAAAAGATGGAAAAGTGCTATCAAAAATTGAAACATGGTCCTGACATGAAGGAAACAACACAACTGCAATAAATCACGTTTAGAAAAATAAAATTAAAAAAAAGAATTTTGAATGACGAAGAAAAAACCGTCATCGACACTGGCGTCACGCTGTCAATAATATCATACTCACGTATAGATTTATTTAACTGAACACGATGTGAGGTTTGAACGCACGCGTGTCTCGCACGGTGCAAAGTTGTCGTTTGGCAAAATACAGCTCAGGTGGACGGCGTGTTAGCACTGGCTAAGTACAGCGTTTTCACATGCATAATATAGACTGCGATGAAATGAGTCCGACTTTATTACTGTATTCGGCTCCTAAAGGCTGCGCTACCTGCTGTGTCCCGGAGACTTGGTGACTTCCCGGTCCCATGGCCTCAGTCGTCTTCGCGTCAGCCGCGCCACTGGCCGTCAAATCACGCCGTCACTTTGTTTCTTTTTTTTTTTTAATGACTGAAATTTAAATTTCGGTCCACAAGTCCTGTGTTTAGGGAGACTTTTCTTTGGCAAACTTCAAATATCAATCCTCGTGTGTAACGCCGAGTGTTTGCTCTCGTGATCCCAGTATGAGCAGTGCATCATGGAGAGCTCCGCGGGCTGACGGGAGCAGGCGAACTGCAGGCCGGCTCCGTTGCTGGAAGAGACCGAGGGCGGCCCCGCGGCGGCTGAGCTCAGCTGCTGTCCGGGATGCGGATGCACCGGATGGTGATGGTGACTCATGCCGTTATAAGAGTTCACCATGCCGGGTAGAGCCATGCTCTGCACTCTGGAGTATGGATTGTAGGAGGAGGGGGGCGACAGCCCCTTCATGTTTACCGGACTCACGTTGCCGCTCGCCATCTGACAGGACGTGTAGGATATCGGAGCGGGCGGCTGGCTCAGCGACCAGGAGTTGTTCATGAAGCTGGACTGCAGGTACTTAGGCGGGGACAGGTAGCCGTAGCTGTCGGTTCCGAATAAGGATTTCCCTGGTTGGAAGTGCGTGGGCGGCGGTCTGAAGGGTCGCTTCATCCTGCGACGTCTCCTGTAGTTTCCCTTCTCGAACATGTCTTCACAGGCCGGGTCCAGGGTCCAGTAGTTGCCCTTCCTCTCTCCTCCACCTTCTCGAGGAACCTTGATGAAGCACTCGTTGAGACTCAGGTTGTGTCTGATGCTGTTCTGCCAACCTTTTTTGTTTTTCTCATAAAACGGGAACTTGCTGATGATGTACTGGTAGATACCGGACAAAGTGAGGCGCTTCTCCGAGCTCTCTCTGATGGCCATGGCGATGAGAGCCACATAAGAGTACGGCGGTTTCTGCGTCGGGTCCGGCTTTTCACAAACCTTCTCCTGGACCGGCTCCTCTTTCGGCCGCTCCTTCTCCTTGTTATTCGCGTTGCTGTCGTGGATTATCAGGGCCATTTCGTCACCCTCTGCGCTCCGGTAAGCCGCCATCATCACGTGCACCAAAACAATCAAGTCTTGATCAACACTTCTGGACAAACTCGAGCGCGTCTGGAGGAACAGGACTCCGGTGCTGAACGGATTGGGTGCACGGTGAAGGCGCACACGCAACTCGTTCTTCTGCGGCCCAGTGGCGGTGACATGCAGCGGACCTCTCCCCTGCTGCACCAGGGCTTTTCTGAGGAGACACAGCAGCAGCAGCAGCAGCAGCAGCAGCTCGGTCTGTGGTGTGTGAGCTGCTCAGAGTGAAGCCAACCCGGTCCTCTGTGCGCTGAACTGAACTGACACACGGTCCCTGCTCCAACATCACTCCAACTTTACACCGAGCG